ACTGTCAGGAAATTTCTCCTCAGTTCTAAGTTGCTTCTCTCCTTGATTAGTTTCCACCCATTGCTTCTTGTTGTCTGGACTCACTGTTGTGTGAGTTGGGCAGCCATATAAATGTAATAAATAAACATTTGTTGTTAGTTACAAAGTCATGTCCGATCCACTGTGACCCCATGGACAACGTTCCTTCCTGTCCTCTTATCATCCCCCAGAGTCCATTTAAACTCATGCCAACTGCTTCAGTGACTCCATCCAGCTACCTCATTCTCTACTGTCCCCTTCTTCTTTCGCCCGCAATCGTCCCCAGCATTAGGCTCTTCTCCAGTGAGTCCTTCATGGATTACTGCCTTGTTGTGGTGAAGGGGCTTGCGTAGCTCAATGAAGCTATGAGCTATGCCATGTAGGGCCACCCAAGACGGACCGGTCATAGGAGAGAGTTCTGACAAAGCCTGATCCACTGGAGAAGAACATGACAATCCACTCCAGTATCTTTACTATGAAATCCTCATGGACAGTACCAAAAGGGAATAAGATATGAGACTGGAAGATGAGCCTTTAGGTCAATATGCTACTGGGGAAGAGCAGAGGCAGTGATGGGATTCAGCCAGTTCAAACCTGTTCCGGAGAAGCGGTTGTTAACTTTCTAAGCAGTTCGGAAAACCGGTTGATGGAAGAAATCTCCTTTTGTTTTTTTTCCATTTTACAGGGCTGATCCCTGTAAAGGAAGGCAGGAAGGAAACAGTCTGGTGTTGTTTCTAGCCTAATCTTTATTGCCCTGCTTACAGAAACTGCCTCTCCGGTTAACCCTTATTATATTGTAACAGTTGATGCGAAGCACCCATTGACGTGAGTGACATTGAGTTGGCCACACCCATTCAGTCACATGACCACTGAGCCATGCCTACACAACTGGTCATTAGAGCAGAGAAGGTTAAATTATTTGAATCTCACCACTGAGCAGAGGGCTAGTACTAGTGGCACCAGAAAGAATGAAGCTGTGGATGTATTTCATCTGGTGTTGAAAGGAAAGTCCAATGCTGTAAAGATCTACACTCCATAGGAACCTGGAATAAAAACCATACTTATTATTAAATATAATTTAGTAATAAATAAAAATAAAGTATATTATTAACATTCAATATTAGGAAGAAAACTCAACCTCTTGTCTCTGCTTCCTAAAGGTTTCTGGCCTGAATTCATCTCATAGACAGAAAAACAAAATATGGATTTGGATAAATACATTTACTTGCCATTTTTTTTCCTCACAGCTTCATCTCTAGGTCAGATAACCTGGTGATCTTTTCACCTCTCCTTGATGGAGAAGATCAGCTACAGGTGAAAGCATTTGCCATGATGAGGGAAGCTATCCCTTTGTTCTTCTGACTTGACATATCTGCATTTAGACCAACAGATTTATTATCAAAATGCAGGAACAAAAACTTTCCAAGACAGCATGAGCTCATTGAGCCTTAGTTTGTTGGCCTCTGTCTTGTAGAATAAGTGAAATATAAACAAATAACAAACAGAATAACAGAGTTGGAGGGGATCTTGAAGGTCTTCTAGTCCAACCCCCTGCTCAAACAGAAAACTCTATACCAGTGTTTCTCAACCTTGGCCACTTGAAGATGCATTCGCTGGCTGGGGAATTCTGGGAGTTGAAGTCCAGACATCTTCAAGTGGCCAAGGTTGANTAGATCCTGAGACTGAAACTCAAGGGTGAGATGTAAATTTTTGAAAAGGTGGATTGCTTCTTTAGTAAAAACCAAAAGGACAGTTTGTGCTCAAAAAACAACTGTTTAAGGTGTTACTTTTATATTTATTGTTCAATTATTAATTATATTTTCAATAGATGAGCTCGAAGAAGGGAGAGTTGGAAGGATTGTGGAAAATGTAGAATTGAAATATATTTATTAAATGATTTCTTTAGAAAATGTTGATTTTTATTACTGTTTTCTATTATCTTTTGGATTAAGCAACATTTATTTACATACCTTAAAAATCAATAAAATATTTCATTGCTTTTGAAATGAAATCTCAAATGTTCCTTCTTTAATGGTGTGATGAAAGTTTAGTTCACACAGGAAAATATCTGGGTTTTTTTTACTTATATGTAATACAATGTCAACATACTCAGTGGTGAAATTCATTTTTTTTTACTACCGGTTTTGTCGGCATGGCTTGGTGGGCGTGGCAGGGGAAATGATATTGCAAAATCTTCATTCCCACCCCACTCTGGGGCTAGGCAGACGTGGTAATTGCCAGTTCTCTGAACTACTCAAAATTTCTGCTACTTGTTCTGTAGAATCTGTCAGAACCTGCTAAATTTCACCCCTGAACATACTGATCTACCAAAAGCAGTTTATATATTAACTAGTTCTTAAAGATGGTCAGTGTACTTAACCCTTCATATTTGTAATTTGTTTCTTAAATTGTGAACTCTCAGTTTACAGTTTAAATAACTAAATGAATTTAAACAAAAGTTTTCAGTCACTAAAAGCAAGTAACAGGAGCTCCTCCTGTTGAACCTGTCAACATTCCAGCTGACAAGCTTAACGTATTGGGCTCATTTTATACTGGGAATTATTTAATTATCACATTTACATCTATCATCTACTATGACTGCTTCTTTCCTATTACATCTACTCAACCCACCAGAACAGGAAGGCAGGGTATGTTGCAGGTCCCATCTATTAGGGATGTACTTCTGCTGGGACCATAAAAAAGAGCCTTTTCGGTGATGACCCCCCTTCTCTGTGGAACATCATTTTTCCTGAAGTACAATTGGCTCCCAGTTGTTGCTTTTCTGAAAGACTCTGAAGATATGGTTATGTAGGTGGGTCTGGGGACCATGAATAGAGATGGAGCTGATCAAGTGGTTGATTTGATACTGATATTGTTGCCATCGGGTGGATTGGGGTGGGGTTTCATCGGTTTTTATGTTGTTGGTTTTTAAGNTTGCATATTCAAGGAGTCCATTTAATTGGCTATGGGTTGCAATTTAAGTCCCTATAAACAAATACTTGATTGACTTGGATTAAGATCTGGGCCCATTTAGTAAGGTAGTAGAATCAAGGTTCTCTCTATCACTGTCCATTCCCACATGCTAAACAGTGTATGAGAATTCAGGGAATGGAAAGTGATATAGTGTAAACTGTAAAGAGGAAGAGATTCCATTCTAAATGAGTATTATTCCATCCACAAGCAGAACATTTTCAGGGGTTTATAGGGATGGTTTGATGATGAGGGCAAGGAAGGACATTTATACCAGCTATTATACATATCTATACCTGTATCCAATTCACTGATTATTTTGTAGACATGCATTGCTAGAACAGCAGGGAGTACTGCTAGTGAACACACACAAATACTTTGGAAATCAAAGCAATTTTAATAATAAGTGAGTCTTCCACAGTAGTCATTTTGTGTGTGTGCCCATCAAACGCTTTCAAAATTCCAACCGTAAGATAGAACCCCAGTTAAATTGAATACCACTGAGGTACCAAATGCATTTTACCTGTCTGAATTTGGTGAAAAAGAGATTTTGCACATAAAAAGCAAATTGTATATGCAAGGGACCTTGTAATACAATGCTTGATTATGAATACGAACAATGCATTTAAAACAATGATGTTATGATTAGCGTAACCAGCAATATTTAGCTTTTCTCCTGTAGATGATGGGCTTCCAGGTGTGAGAAGCCTAAACTTCTGACTCCAGATCTCTTTTTATTTGAGTAGAATGAAAACGGATGGCTCCAAGATCAATGCATGAAGGTTGGAGATGCATATGTAATTGTCTATTCCATCACGGACCGAGCAAGCTTCGAAAGAGCATCTGAGCTAAGGATTCGGCTCCGCAGGGCACGGCAGATGGAAGATCTTCCTATTATTTTAGTGGGCAACAAAAGTGATCTTGTAAGGCGCCGTGAAGTTTCTGTTTCAGGTAAGGATGTTTCTCTTAGAATATTTTTGCTTCAGCTCTTTAGAATCCACCATCAGTGGTGGGTTCCGGGCAGTACAGCCCAATACGGGCGAACCAGTGGCAGCTGGGAGTGGTGTGGCCACTGTACTGGAATGGTGCTTCGGTGGACCCACTCGCCCGCCCGTGTTCCTTACCTCTTTTTGAGGGAAATGGGCCAATTGTGCATGCACGCACAGCATACGGTGCCTGTGCGACCTTGCAGCTGGGGCGTCGCAGGGCGGTCGTGTGTGCACGCACACACAGTGCACATGCCCGAGGTAGACATCCGGCCTTGTCGCAGCGTACTGTTCGCGACAGGATCCGGAACCCACTACTGATCTACATTATGACTTGCTTGCACAACAATGATGAGTGGGGATGGTAGAGGTGTTTTGAATTTCAAAAGAGAATTCATTGACAGCACAGATAGTCCTTGACTTGCAACAGTTCATTTAGCGACCATTTGAAGTTACAACGGCACTGAAAAAAGTGACTTCTGGCTGTTTTTCACACTTATCACCATTGGTCACATGATCAAAATTCAGATGCTTGGCAACTGGGTCATATTTATGTCCCAGGATGATATGATCATCTTTTTCAACCTTCTGATGAGCAAAGTCAATGGGGAAGCCAGATTTATGACTAACTTAACAATTGCAGTGGTTCACTTAGCGCCTGTGGCAAGCAAGATCATAAAATGGGGCAAAACTCACTTAACAACTGTCTCACTTAGCAACAGAAATTTTGGGCTCAATTGTGGTTGTAAGTCGAGGACTACCTGTAGTGAAGTGGCACTACTGAAACAAACTTCATTCAAGGAGACATTTTATCTTTTAAGTCAGTGTTTTGCTTTCTGGGGGATTCTGGGAATTGAAGTCCACATATCTTAAAAGTTTGAAGAACTTAGTTCACTGCTTTCTAGTAATACTTCTGAATTATTTTGTCTTCAAATGTTTTCCAGAGGGCCGAGCCTGTGCCGTTGTGTTTGATTGTAAGTTCATTGAGACCTCAGCAGCTGTACAGCATAATGTCAGGGAGCTGTTTGAAGGCATCGTGCGTCAGGTTCGCCTGAGAAGGGACAGCAGAGAAAAGAACGAGAAGAGGCTGGCATATCAGAAGAGGAAAGAGACCATCCCTAAGAAGGCGAGGCGATTCTGGGGGAAGATTGTGGCCCGAAAAAACAAGAATATGGCTTTCAAGCTGAAGTCCAAATCTTGCCATGATCTCTCTGTCCTTTAGGAACTTGGGGACACACCTAGACTTTTATCTATCACAAATATGCCACATAATCTCCAGAACTGAGAAGAACCAATCTATATTAGATTGGTCAACAGAGCTGATCTGGAATCACGATTGTGATTACTGTGATGGAGCATGCCTGCAATACAGCAAGCATGTCCTCATGCATGGAAGAAAGAATGTCATCTATATGTTTGGTTTATCTGAGCGTACTGGATTGGGAACAGCATTTTTTATGCTCTGAAAGAACATTCCAAACAATATAGTGAGATGAGCCTGAAAAACACAACCTGGAAAGGGGAACTTCTATAGTTGCCTTCTTCCTAACCAACCAGTTGCTTTTCTTAAGTGTGCACTGCTAAGTCTTATTCTTACAATATCATCTGTTGCATCTGGCTAGATAGATATCAGCAGCATCAGCAGAATAATCAGATGCTCAGATCACTAGGAATGTGAAAGCCACCCACCCACTGATGGCTATTGTCATGAAGTCAACACTGTCCCAATTCTAAATCCATCCACTTCCTATTTTATTGGTCCTATGTCCATTTATATTCTGATCATCTTCCTAATTGCCCCTGGCATGTTGCTTTACAGCCTGACATTCTAAAAGATAAAGAAAGTAGGCAGGCATTGCAGCAGATCTGATATCAAATTCAATTCTTCCTGGCTTTTGTATTATTCCATCTCCTTGCCTCCTCACTGCCAAGTGAAACCATCAAAGCATGGCTACCTCTGAAATAAAAGCACATCCATCACAAACAGGGGTGGGTTCTGGCTGGCATTCCTGCCGGTTTGCTCGTGTGTGCACTTTGTGCATGCATGCTTGATGTGTGCTGCGCGTGTGTGCACACTGCAATTAAAATTGCTCTACGCATGCACAGAACTGAAAAACAAGATGGCGGCACCAATGGCGCTAACCGGGGAACTGGTTCGGGGGCGTAGCAGACCTGGGTTGCTGCCGGTTCCAGAGCCGAGGTGGCGCAGTGGTTAGAGTGCAGCATTGCAGGCTACTTCAGCTGACTGCAGTTCTGCAGTTCAGCTGTTCA